ATGCTGGGGGTGCACATTTGACCTAGGGGGTCAAGAAGCCCATGAATGTATTACTTGGCTAGCTGAAGACATAAACAAAATAATTCAGGAATTTTGCCAGGAAATATGTCTTGATAGCATTTTCAATGCTGTTATAACCATTGGGTTTGCCAGGAACATTATCAGAATTGCTGCAAAACATTTACTTCAGGTTAGAGAGCTTCTAAACACTGTGTATTCTGCAGAAGATCCTAATGCTGCCTTTCATGATTTGATCACTGAGGAAGATATAACACTCATACCCCATATTAAATGCTTAATTGGTACTGGAGATTATAAAACCCTGCTTAAGAGAAAGGCTTAGCAAAAACAGTTTAAAATGGGGGTGGAGGGGTTATATCTTTTGCTGATCTTGGTGGGAGGGTGGGGGATGTGAGGTTGTAAAGCACATCAACAGTTTTCTACAGCTAATGTACATTAGGATTTGCTTTAGTGTCTTGGATCTCTAATCGCATACATATAGGGTTTTTTGTAAAGATAAAACCAATGAGACTTAATGACCATTAGAAATGATAAAAAAAAAACCTTCTTAGGAGAAGGGGTAACAAAATAAACTAGTAAATATTGTAAAAGTTTTGATGGAAATAAATACTGAATTAAAAAATATATATTCTCACAGCTTTTGTATGGTAGGGGGGTGGGGTGGGGGTGTTATAAAAGATAAACCAGACCACAAAAAAAAAAAAGAGCATTGTGTTCAGAGCTCTTCCAGTTTTAAGATTAAAGGAGTTATCGTTTACCAAAAGGCCAGCTGTAAAGATAAGGCTTAATGGTCACAGGAAATGATTAAAAAAACACTTCTTAGAAGAAGGTTTAACAAAAGAAATCAGTAAATATTATAAAAGGTTTTGATGGAAATAAAGACTGAATTTAAAAATATATATTCTCACAGATTGTATATGGTATGGAGTGACGGGTGTGTATCATAAAGATAAACCAGATCAAAATAAATAAATAAAAGCTGATCGGTGTGTCCAGATCTCCACATATTTTAAGACTAAAGGAGTGGAGTTGTCTTTTAGTGATGACTATTTTAATAGTTTACTTTATACATACCTATTTTCCTTAATCTATTATTATTTTTTTTAATACAGAGGACTTACTTATTGTATCATTTCATTTATATTACAGAAAACTCATCAGGTGGGGAAGCCCATGCAATTTTACCACAGCAAGGTAAAAATTATTTTAAAATAGTGGGTTATTTGTGGCTGTGTTACTATAATCACACTGAGTTATAACAACTGTTTGTTTTCAAACAGAACCTTTTCTAAAAGAGAAAAGCAGAACAAGCACATACAGTCATGTTTTTATCCAGTAGTAAAAGGTAATTTTTTGTGAAATCAGCTTCTGAAACTTTGTGTTTCTTGTGGGAGGAGAAGCGGTGTGTAGCGGGTGAAGCAAATTTTAAATTTGTAGTGTGTGAGGAAAGTGAATTCTCAATGCTGAGATGTAATTTTTATATTTCCTAAGTGATCACATGCACCACTCCTGAAGAAGAGCGGGGGTCTGGGCAGAGACCTCTAAAAGCACAAGCAAAAAAACCCAGAAATGCTCAGCCTGCAGATCATAATACCCAAGGATCAGAAGACCACCGGGTCAGAACAGAAGGGTATGATTCCTCAGAGAAAAACAAGCCACATACCTCTGTCAAAAGCATATGCAAAAAGACAAGGATTCACCCCAAAACAGGTGATCTGGACCCCTTGAATAAGAAACCCAGGACTGATTACTTACACAATTTAGAGAAAGAGGAGAGTCTTTCTCCTTTTTTGAAAGATCATGATTATTGTGAAAAAAAGAAGGTGGGTTTTCAGGGTGGGTATAAACAATGTGTCTTGAAAGATCATGATTATTGTGAAAAAAAGAGGGGGTTTGGGGTGGTACTGGCAGGCGTATATATCTCAGAAAGACTGTGCAGAGCTCCTTGAAAGATCATGATTATTACCAGAGCAAAAGGGTAAATTTTACTCAGAGAAGAGGTAGTCTGTGTAACTCGGACAGCAGGCATGGTCTGTATCATAAGAGAGGGAGTCATGGTAAACATGAGGGTAAGAATGGGTGGCAAACCAGCAAGTGGCTAATGGGGGGAAAAGTAAGGGCCTGGTTAAAGAGGAGTGTGGGAAAGGCTAATCACTGGTTGAGGAGAAAAAAAAAGATCCCCTAGGGATCCCTCAAACACTTCTCCTCCTTCCAGTCCTGATCCTTCACCAGAACACCCAGAGCCAGAGAGAGGGGGGATGGAGAATATGGTTTAGGAAGCCTGTTAAAGGGTCGCTCAAATATACCCCAGCCTCCCAGACCTGACCTTTCACCAGGACCCACAGAGCCACAGAGGGGAGATGGTGACTATGATTTAGGAAGCCCGTTAGAGGGTCCCTCAAATGTTCCCAGACCACCCAGGCCTCCCCCACCCCCAAGACCTGGAGGGTCAGAGGGTTGAGATAACAAATCTGGTGTAGAAGACAGTTTAGAGGATCCCTCAAGCGCCCCCTGGTCTCCTGAGTCATCAGAGGATGTTTTACCAGATGTACCTTTGGTGCAGATGAGAAGGCAAAAGTGGTTTGTAGCCAGGTTTGATGGCATGAGGTACACTGAGGAGTTCCGTTTTGTGAATTTGGAGTGTGTGCCATTACAAGTGGCATATGAAGCCATAACCCGAGGGGTGGAAGAAATTGTAGCAGAACTCTGACAGAGATTCACAGGCAATGACTATACACAGTTACGTATCCAGTAGATAGCATGGCAAACTGTTGATACTCACGAGCTATTAATTTAAACAATTTGACCCCAGAGCTGTTTTAAGAGTGGTTCAGTAACCTGTTACAAAGCCAGAGAGAAATATTGCTCGATTCGACATTTCGGTTGGTTGTGGTCATTGTGAAAGGCCTGGGAGGTGGAAGCCATAGAGTTATAACCTCTATTCCCTATTCCCAGATTGTTACTAAAAAGAGGAAGTATTTAATTGACTTGAATACCTATATTGCAGGCAGTCTATTGGCTGTTACAAAGCATAGAGGGGACAGAGATGTAGAGCTTCTAGATGGTGCCAGAGAACCGCATAGGAAATTAGGCATGTCTATATATCAAAAGCTTATGCTCCATCAAGTACCTTTGTTTGAAGATCTCAAACAGGTTAACATTCACATAGTGATGCATAAGGAAAAAACTGGGTGGAGTTTATTTAAAACACAGGACACACCCAGATACCCTGACACCTGTTTTCTTCTGCTACATGGTGAACATTATTATGGTATTTTGGATGTGAAAAAGGTGTTTCGCATGAGAAATTATTGCGATCTTTGTCAGACGTTGTACAGCCATAGCCAGACGTGCAGGTTCCAATGTCATCTTTGCCTGAGCCCAAACTGCTCTGAAAACATGGGCAGGACACAGAGGTGCCCTAATTGTAAGCTGTTCTGTCATTCCAAAGAGTGTTTAGAAAGGCACGTGGCCCTGGCCTCTGAAAAACGGATTGAATATCTGACTAAAACTCTGTGCGATGAGTGTAAATCTTATGAGGACAAAAAGCAAGAGTGCAAGGGGTGGCAGTGCAAACAGTGTTATGGGAAAATCACAGGTGTAAACAAACACTGGTGCTTTATGCGCCAAATTAAAGAGCCTGAAGAAGGCAAGGGGTACACTTTTTATGATTCTGAATGTGTGCAGGAGATGGGGATGCGTTTGCCCAACTACATTTTTGCAATGGAGCTAAAGACAGGGGAAAAAAAACACAGAAAGATGCAGGCAAAAACCCCAAAAAGGCTTGTGAAGCTAAGCCCAAAAAGCCAGAAAGCACTTGGGAGTTTAAGGGCGAAGAGTGCCTGTCTGATTTTATTAAGGTCTTTATGGATA